AAATACATTTTTTAATATAATATTTTTATAAAACCGCAAGGTTTTGACTATTTTTTGAGAAAAAAAGTATTTCGTTGTGTTATTCTTAGTGAAAATTGATAAGTATATGATGAAAATGAGTGGCAGGAGATCTACTATTTGGAACTATTTTAGAGAAACTGACGACTGTAATGTAATGTTTCTTTGTTTGATACCAAACAAAATTTTGTCAAGCTTTCTATTTGCTATAATTGGAAATAAATCTACAGTGCCTCAAAACCATAACGCTATACAAGTAAATTTAACCCATAAATAAAAATACTTTCAACAGCAAAATTATGAAAGACATAGCATTACTAAATTCGTACATTTCCATACAGTGGATACTTTAGTACCACTTTAACGAATATTCGTTGAATTAGCCGAAAATTCGGCCGAATACGAATATTCGGTAAAGCTGCCGAATATGCCGACTACCGAATGTAAAACGAATATTCGGCCCATCTCTACTTTCGACACTTGGCTATGGCCCTTGAGTTTGGGGGAAAATGAGGAAAGAAGAAGTAAAATAAACGTTCTGAATAATAATCTAATACTTTTATACTTACTGGTATTGGTACTACCAGAAAATATTGTCGAAATACTGCACTTTTTCCAAGTGGTGGTCAAGTTCTCATGTCTAATAAAACAGTCGTCTGTGAAAAGTTAAAACAGACAGTAAAACAAATATGATCATTTTGTTACAGACGCCAATTCAAAATATTTATGCTTTTAAGCCATAATTTTAGTCTAGGTTCAGTTTGAAACCCGTTAATTAATAAGCATTTGATAATCATCTGTTGTTGGCAACTTTGTTTTTTAACAGATATGAGTAGGAAAGAACATCGATAAGTATTATAGACAAGGAACTCGACAATCCTATTGAATTTTATTGTTTATCAGAACTCAGTAATATACAGCCAAACATGTTGGTAATATACGATATTAAGATTAGTAACAAATTTTTTGGTACTTATATTATGAAATAATTTTTTTTAATATTAGCTGCTAATTCACTTGTGAAATGTTATAACACTTCTCTTTTGGTAACGATTTTTACAGATTACGCACACTGTCATTCTAATTAAAAATAATTCTTATTATGTAACTAATATTATACACAATCAAACAACATAAAATACTTTCGTTTTTTAATTTAAAAGTTCAAAATACAGATTTTTTTAAAATATGACAGTTTGAATAAGACACATACTTTGGCATATTATGTCAATTTTAGTTTCCAAGACGACCGTTAGGGGTGCTTCAAATTGGCACAGACATTTTGTATGGTATAGCCAGTTTTTTTTTTTGCGCCCGAAGCAAATATGGGCAACCCTCCGGAAAGCAGGGGAGGGAGGCGGTGAATGCTCATAGCATACCACGCAGCCGGCTGCGTGGTTATGTGGAGACTTTTACCCACTAAACACCGCCTTTTAGGAATTGGCTTAACTATCTGACTAGAGATCTCTAAGCCGTATACGAACGCGACCCTCCTTGGCAGAAAGGAGGGCGCAAGCGGTGAAAAGCCGCTTAGAAGAGTGCCTTACTAAGGCAGATTAAGGGATGTGTTATGTAGGCTCGGCCTGAGCCGCCAGGAGGCAGTTCAGGTCAGCCGAAAGCTTGTTGGGGGGAGAGAGAGAGAGTTTCTCGGTCTGCGCACACTATAGCGAGTGTGGATAGGGGCTGCATAGGCAGCTGTCTCACGAATGAGATGATTTGGGTGGGACGCTGAGGCTTTGAAAAATCTCTCAGAGAGTGATTTAAGGAACTGCTGGATTGTTGGGAGCTCTAAGCCTCGATGTAGGTCGGCATTACGGACATAATAGGGCGAGTTAGTGGCCCTACGACAGAATAGATTTTGAACAATTTGAAGTTCATTTATAGCTTTGGGCTTAGCATGTGCGAAAATGGGGGCCGCGTAGGTCATGACAGGTCGTATGCAGACCCTTATATAGGGTTCGCTTGTTGCGGAGGGACATTTTACTGTGTCTGCCCAACATGCTGTTGAGCCTACCCATGTAAAAACGTGCGGTGCGAGTAACCTTCTTGATATGGGGCTCGAAAGTGAGCCTTGCATCAAGGGTGACGCCTAGGTATTTGGCTTTAGTTTGCCATGGGACAGGGGTTCCTAACATCCTGATTGGCGGAGTGGTGGTGAGACGACGTCGTTTATATTCGAAGCAAACGGTGGAGCTTTTCTCCGGGTTTACGTCGATACGCCATTTTTGGAACCAAGCTCCTAAGTCGCTTACTGACTTTTGGATCTTGTTCCGAATCTGTGGTAGTGAGTTGCCTTTAGAGTAAAGGGCTGTGTCATCTGCAAAGAGGGCTAGTTTAACACCATTCGACGGGATAGGGATGTCGTTGGTGAATAGTATGTATAGGAGGGGAGCAAGCACAGAGCCTTGAGGGACACCGGCTTTTATTTGACGAGTAGGGGATAGCGTGCCTTCGTGTCTAAACGAAAGGTACGATCCTTCAGATAGGAGGCTACAAGGCGAACGAGGCGGTCCGGGAGGCCTAAGTCGTACAGTTTGTAGATAAGGCCCTCGTGCCAGACTCTGTCGAATGCCTTGGCAATGTCAAAGAAGACCGCGATGGTTTTTTGACGGCGAGGATAAAAACCGCTGAGGATGTATTCTACTATGCGGTGAACTTGCTGGGGGCTCGAAACCCGAATTGTTGTGGGATGACAAGAGGGTCGCCGTCTGTGGGAAACAAATGGCGCCTCAAGCGCACGAGAATAACTCGTTCGAAAAGTTTGCCCATGGCCTTGAGGAGGCTGATGGGACGGTGATTGGAGGGGAGGTGGTGAGGTTTGCCTGGCTTGGGAATGCCAATGACAGTTGCCTCCAAGAGGTGGGAAAGTAACTGAATTCGAAGCAGGCGTTAAAGATAATGGCCAGTAAGGCGATTACCTGCTCCGGGAAGTGTTTGAGGGCTTGGTTGGAGATACCATCCGCACCCGGTGCTTTTTTGGGCTTAAGTCCTTTGATGGTAGATGAAATCTCATCTTTGGACACAGTGATAGGGTCAGAGGCGGTAGGGGGGCGAGTTCCTGCGTCGGACCTCGTCCTCCACTAGTTGGATGTGTAAGGGGTCAGTGGGTTGTGAGCTAGGAGAGCATTGAGCGGCGACGCTGTCAGCGAAGCACTCAGCCTTTTCTTCGTCCTCGAAGGCAATGGAGCCGTCGGGAAGAGACAGAGGGGGAGTATGCGTTATAGCGTCTATCCGGAGGGCTCTCGCCATCCGGTAGTACGCTGTGTGGGAGGGAGAGATTTTCTACATGAGATTGCCCTTTTCGTGGTGTCTGTAATCTTGGAGGCGGTAACGCAGTTTGCGTTGAAGGCGGTGGGCCGCGAGTCTATATTCAGGAGTGGGATAGCGTGCAGCTCTACGGAGGGCAGCTTTTTTGGCTTTTAACAGGTTGCTAATATCTAGGGGAAGACTAGTTTTAGCAACCGGGACAACTTTTTCATATAGCCAGTCCAGTGTACTTGTATATATAGAGGTCAGTGTCCTCGCCAAAACCAAAGAAATTGTTAATAGATCTTTGATTTACCAAGTTGTAGGTAGGCCCAGCAGTGAACTTTTGATAGACGGTAATAATTCCAATAAAACTCCATGTGACATCTACGCCGGTAGTTAATGGTGTTCTCATTAACTACGCTACGCTTGAAGTTATTGACGAATATGTTTGTTCATTCATCTTTCATCTTCGAAGGAGAGGTCATTCGACAGATCTTTGTAGGGCAGAGAGACATAGAGACATGCAATACACATTCTCATTTTTTATCTTTTTAATTTTTTTTCTGTAATAAATTGTAGATAAGTTATATTATGATTGTAGCAGGAATAGATCGGTTCGACCGGAGTAGGATCACGTTTTCACAGAATATCGGCGTAAATTGACACCTTAATACTGCTGTGTTTCGTATGGTGAGTATAGAGAACCGGAGACCCTTTTTACTGGAAACGAAGTATTCCATCTCAGACCTCAGGGATAATAACGCATCTGCATTGTTGTTTTTAGTTATGGATAAACGTAGATGTCTATGGCCCACAGCACCCACTTACCATCACTGTGGCCTGTGTGTTTGTTTGTCACCCTTATTCTATAAAAAAGCCCAACAAACTTGTGTTGTCACAGTTTCTATTTAGAATCTAACTGAGGATTCGCAACTTGGTAGTTAGGTACTTTAAGCACTTGGTCGTGTGGCGCACACTATATCCGAATACTTATATTCCCACAATCCTATCGGTTAACCTTTCCATGCCCATGCCTGATACCCGTTAGTACAGTGTACTTTTTATATGGAGTGTAGATAGGTAAATATTGATACTAAAATCTGTTGCTCATTTGATATTTTTCGGAAATACTTGGAAGCCTGTCTTGAAGTTTGGTCAAATTAAGTCGGAAAGATATTATTTTAGCTTAAAGATGATAAATTATGATGATCTCAAACTCCGTTGAAAAAAATTTTATAGCGTAGATTATTATTTAAATCTCAGATTTAAATATTTAACCCTCTTCGACTGACGTGGCTCAATTTTTATAATTGTACTGACGTGGTAGTATTCGAGACACCATTTCAAAACCAAATATTTTTATAGAATTAAATTATGCGGGGACACTCACAGAGCACATTATTTATACCTGGAACGCACCCTGACCGACGCGCGAGCTTACTATGGCAAGGTACTAAGAGTGTCGATGCTCAAATTTGAAAATTAACGGTAATAAATTTTATATTTTGCCGGTGTCTGTTGGACTACCACGTCAGTCGCAGAGGGTTAAGAGTTCATATAGAGGTCATTTTTCTAACTTTTAGCTTCATATTTTAAACCTATGATACTGGTTTTTTTTATAAAAGACAGCAACGTTTATAAAGACAAATAAAGCATATCGCCTTATTTGTCCTTATAAACGGTTTAACTCTGCTCTTACTTCGGTTTCATCAGCATCAAAGTCAAAATTTAATATGAAAACAATTTTATTGATAAAAAATAAAGGTATCATTTTTATCTGGTTTAATTTTATTTAGCAATCTTATTATTTTAATTAGAGAATATTTCATTTATTTTCTAGCTGTTGTGTGAAATACATGGATTGAATTTTAAAATTATTCAAAATTCATTATTGTATCATCAAGATAAAATTTATTTTCCTAAAGTGTTCCAAATATTTGCATACTTTTGCTGCTTGGATACCATTGGTATTCAGTTTGTTACTATTATTTTGAACGGTTTAAATGATCGCATATATTTGGCGTTGTACGTGTTTCGATATATTTAAGTAAGATTAATGTTCTCAATAATTTGACCACTTTGGATGGTTGAATGTTTATGATTACTTTGGATGTTTCAAAATATTTGACCACCTTGACTACTCTCTTATATCTGACGCTGACTGTACGAAATTTACTACCCCGGGATTATCTTCCAAGATTTGCGTTTTGTTAAACAATGATACAAAGACACCGCTATTCTTCGAAAATTTTATGGTCTGATGAGCCGACATTTAAAAAAAATGGTTACATGATTCTACCTACAACTTACAAAAGTGGAATGTCTGTCCACATTTGATGACAAGATAGATCACCGTGTCGTTTTATAATAAACATGTGGACTGGAATTTTAAATGGAAAATCTGAATGGTTATTGTTTATTGGGATTTTTTACAAAACCATTTACCAAATTTGTTGGAATACATGCCACCTAAACATTTACAGAGACAGACATGTGGTTCCAGCGAGGCAGCTGCCCGGCACACTATGCTCGCTTTGTTGGAGAATATCTCAACGAGAAATAATTGGGCAGATGAGCAAGGCAGTTTGGTACAATCTCGTCGCCAGCTCATTCAAATGACTTCAATCCACTGGATTTTTTTACTGGGGAGCGTTGAAAGAAAAAGTTACCCAAAGTCAATCGAATACGTAGCCCAATACGCCTAAGAATAACGGAACCAGTAAATTTTGTTAATAACGGAAGATTCGCCCGTCTGATACCCCGATCCTTTTTAAGAATATTTTGCATTGGACGCTTGAACATTTGTTGTAATAATTCTTATAATCTAATAATTAGTATTTAATTTAAAACTTTTCTAAAAAAGAAAACCAATCCTAAACTAAAAGTAAAAAAAATGTTATTTATGACCAATGGTACCTATATGCCTTGGGCTGTCAGGAAATAAGATTTCTGTCTCGCTCACACTTTACCATCTCACTCAAACTTAAATTTACGGTCTTGAGAAAGGCCTTGGGTATACCAGAATTATTTAAGTAACAAAAATTTGTTCAAAACTGAGTAAGCAAGAAACAATTTAGCAAGTGTTATAACATTTTTCAATCCTTATCAGATGCGCCAACTATTAAAGTTATTTGCCAAACTAGCGTAGTACATTTTTTTTAGTTAAAATTAGGCGAAGTATTAACTTTGATGACTCAGTCCCGCTAAAAGTGACATTTTCTTCCAAGCTGGAGCAGTTGGCTTTCAATTTCAGGCAACAACTCACAAAAGCATTTCAGGATTAAATAATGAAAAAAAAAAAGATTTGTAGTAACGAGAGTTAAAAGACTATCACAGGTTGTAGATTTTCTCGGATTTTTTACAATACCTGGTTGGGCGGCGGGCCTAAGGGATCCCGAGTTCGATTCCCAGGTTGAGCCTTGACCCTATTGTGCGAGATGTACTAGGTGGACTGTATACGCGATTGCTTCTTATGCCTCAACAAGATGGCGGATGTGGCACGCGGCACCTTGGACAATGCACTCGCTCTTCCAAAATCTAGTGCTTGCCAAGGTTAGGAAGAAATTCTACTTGAGCACATTAGGAGAAAACAAAATCGGGCGGGTTAACTAACAAACAAAGTGCTCAAGTAGGAATAAAATTACGGAAAAACACACTTACCGGGGTGTGATTCTGATGCGGCAGACGACGCTTCCGTTGCGGTGATGCAACGTGAGGTGGGTTCTTCTGGGGCGCCCCAGAGATGTGATCCAAGCCAGTGGTGCGAAGGAAGAGAGCGGTGCGCGACGATATCTCACACTATGTGAGACGATTACTTCTGGAGCGCGACTGCTCCAGGTGATGGGGTTCAGACTAGCGGCGCGTGGCAAGAGGCTGCTGGAGGGCAGCGCGCGAGCCTATATTGCTTCGGCTTTCCCACCAATGCGTCTCGGTCGGGCGCGCGTCTCATTGGTCGAAAGAATCGCGCCACCTTCTAGACTCCCCCCTTTCCCCTTTCAGTGTGTACGGAAGGGATATTAGGTCAAAGGATGGGTAAACGCTTGGCAATATACCCTCGAATAAAATTATAATACACGAATCGTTTCCGCGTAACCATCCCCCCGGCTTGAAGGGGGGGATTCTTCAAAATAACTAACGCTAAGATTAAACCTAATTTTCGACTACAATTTCTAATCTAGAAAGCTAATTCAAACTATTGAATGGGCAAAGGGCACAAACGGACAACAGGGCGCATGTAAGACCCAGTCGTGGTCCTAACGCGAGCTACCCTAGTTACCCCGTCGGAACCGGGAAAAACTTCTTCAACGATCCCTAATGGCCAATGGAGAGGCGGTGTATTCTCCTTGGTGAGCACAACCACAGTTCCGACAGTTAAAGATTCAGTTGTTGTGTTCCATTTTTGCCGAGACTGCAACGTATGCAAGTATTCCATCTTCCATCGTTTCCAAAACGACTGCACCAACCGGTCCAATAATTTATGGCGTGCGGAAATACTAAGTTTGTTCTCGTCCATGATAGACATGGCGGGCAGATATTTCAAAGGCGTTAAATTCAAAAAATGTGCTGGAGTTAGAGCCAGCGGCTCCGAGCGGTCACTTGACAACGTTCGACAAAGGGGGCGACTATTCATGACGCACTCAATTTTAGCGAGCACAGTACTTAACTCTTCGAAGGACAAAATTTGATCTCCTATTACTCGGTATAAATGACTCTTTAGACTCTTGATATTAGTTTCCCAATTTCCCCCATAATGGCTCGCGGCCGGGACGTTCAGAGACCACTCGATGCGGTTCTCGCCTAGGATGTGAGCGAACTCAAAATTATAATATTTACTGGTTAAAAGCTTATGTAGTTCTGATAAAATACGTTTCGCGCCGACGTAGTTTGTACCGTTATCCGAATACAATTTACTTACAGGGCCACGGCGGGAAAGAAATCTTTTAAATGCACCCATGTTGTGCATCCGATTGCGGATTAAATTACGTGTAGAAAGAATCCAATAATTCTGGCGCAAGATTGACATCAACAAGTCGGGGCCAGCGTGAGAATTCAATTTATGGTGGTAATCTACTAATAAATTCATGATATGGTCCTTACGCGGTAAAACTATAGGGTGCTGTGGTCGAAACTCAACTGCGAGTTAGACAAGTGCCCACCCTGACGATTCCATCTTGTAAAAGTGGTTTAAGACGTTGAAAAGCGCGACTACAAGTTCTATTCGATTGTAATCTTGTAATTTCATCGGAAAAATGCGCACTCTGAAGTTAACGCAATACTAGCAACTCGGCATAAGTGTAATCGGACGCTACGATATACAAAGGTCGCGGTAAAAGCTTCGCGAATCGACAAACGTAAATCACGCTATGCAATAATTTCGACCAAGAGGACAAACGGTTCGCCAAAGCAATGATTGGAGAAACCTCGCTCGAAACGTTCGCAACCAGAGCGTGCCTCTTCTCTTCCGGTGGTTGGGACACTGACGAAGGGTCGAAATCGGTTATTGGCCACTGCGAGGGTTCCAAGTGAACCCAAGAAGGTCCGTGGAACCAAAGCGGATGGTCCATTATTTGCATCGGGGTGAGTCCACGGGATAGACAATCGGCAGGGTTTTCCGTACCGGACACGTGATAAAAGTTCCGCGATCCTAACTCGTCTTGGATCTTGGCCACTCGGTTCGCGACAAACGTATCCCAACGGTGGGGTGAAGAATGAACCCAACATAAAGCGACGGTTGAGTTAGAAAAGGCAAATATTCTTTCTATGTGAACTTTGTCACTACATGCACTGATAACTGCGGTGATAAGCTTGGCAAGGACTAATATCGCGCAAAGCTCTAAGCGCGCGAGAGAGACAACCTTACGGGGGGAGACTCTTGACTTAGAGCTAATGAGACTGATCGAATTTCTACCATTATTCTGGACGCGAAAATTTCCAACGCCCCCGTAAGCCTTCTCGCTAGCGTCTGCAAACCCAACGACAGTGATGACGCTATTTCTATCGACGTTTATATGACGTGGTATTTTAATCTCGCTTAGTAAAGGAAGTTCCTCTCTAAAACGTAGCCATGAACGAACAATGCTATCAGGCGGCGGGTCATCCCAACCGCATTCACATAACCAAAGTTGTTTAATCAAAAGCTTAGCGTATAGCACCACCGGGGCTACGAAACCCATGACATCCAATAATCTAGCAACGCATGATAGCATTGTGCACTTTGTGCACGTTTCTGCGGGCGGGTTTACCTCAAGGCTAAACACGTCGAACTCCGGTGACCAACACAAACCGTGCACCTTGTGCGTATCAGAATCGTCGAATTCCTTTATCGCCGAAAGGTGGTGTGATGTGGGATTGTATCTAAAACCGTACGCGAATTACTAGTCCACTTGACGAGATCGAATTGACCCGATTTCATGAGCCTTATAACCTCGGCGGTGGTTAGGATGGCCTCCTCCACGCTATCGACCGAGTACACAAAATCATCCATATATAACCCACTCTCAATTGCCCTCTTAGCTTTAGGATAAGTGGGACCCTCATCAGAGGCGAGCTGTCTCACCGTGCGTATCGCATGAAATGGGCTCGACTTTAAACCAAAGCAAACGCGATTAAATTCAAACACCATTAGAGGTTCCTTTGAAATCGACGGTCGCATTCACGGACCCCTATGCAAAGAAACATTTGGCGAATGTCGGCGGATAGTGCTATACTGAACAAACGAAAATTTGCTATTATATTAAAAAATTATATTTATTTTATTGCCCTGTAAATTTTGCCCACTATAGAGGTATCGTTAAGAGAAAGGTGAGTGCTAGTTCTAGCACTAGCATCGAGCACTACACGTAACTTGGACGTAAGTTTGTCTTCCCTAATGACACCGTGATGTGGTATGAAATACGACGGCGCGTCTTCGTAGTTATCTAATTTTGGAGCCACAAGTGATATGTAACCCTCCCTTATATATTCATTAATGACGCCGTCATAAGCTTCTTTTAATATGGGCGAAGCGAGCATCCTGCGCTCCAAACAATAGAAACGTTTTTCCGCCATTTGACGCGAGTCGCCGAGAGACAAAACATCTTCTTTAAAGGGTAGCGCTACACTATATCGACCGTCGCGATCACGAGCGGACGTAAATTTCCTCGCATAATCTATCATCTGGGCTAACTATCTATAGGTGGAACGTTCACCTCCTCCATCTCCCAAAATTTGCGAACTAACGACTCTAGCGGTTCGACAGCCATACAGCAATAAGAGGTTGCCGAAATATTATCCATGATAGGGGCGGAACCAACGATGACGTAGCCCAAGGCGGTCTCCGGTGCGTAAGGCGCGGTATGCGAGGGGTTGCCCCTGACCTTATTGTGTAACAAAAGATGAGGGAAAAGCGATGCTCCAATGAGCATGTCTATATCTCCGGGGACAGCGTAAGTATCGTCTGCCAGAGTCAAATTCTCAAAATCAATCATTGCCGAGGTGTCGACCGAAACGGTTGGCAGACGCTCGGTGACTTTATCTACTACTAATGCATTTATATTAAAGTTAATACTACGATCTAGCCGAGAATAAAATTTCAAATTTACAGAGCCCTGGGTAATTTTCACAATTAGTTTCAGATCATCATTCAGTTCAGTGACTGAATCTAAAAGAGTAAGGGAGAACGATGATTTGCTTGATTGCCTCCCCTTGCTTGTATAGATATTTTTGCAAAGAGAAAATTTCAGTATACTCAATTACTAAAATTCGAATTTTGAATAATGTGCCTTTATTATGGCTTCATTAGTATTTGATAGGGTTACTGTTAATATATTTAATATAAATAATATGTTTTATTTCAGATACACATCCGGCATCAAAAATATGGGTATCTGGTCCTCATTTGCCTAAATTAAAACATTGGGAAGAAATGGGTGCTAATATTACTACAAAAAATGGAGAAGTATTTTATAAGTGTGATATTATTTTTCTTGGTGTGAAACCTGGTCTACTGAATGATGCCATTAATGACTGTCTTAACACCTTACCTCCAAATGCTTCTAGTAAAAATGTTCTTTTTATATCAATGTTGGCTGGTGTCTCTATTGATCAATTGCATAAGGTTTGTTTTAGTGTTATTTATTTTATCAATAACTATAAAACTACAATGTCAAAGGAGATTTTTTGTATGGATAATGAGCAATGGATTTGTCATCTAACGGGAATATTGAGAAATCAACAACTAAAATATGAATATCACAATAACCTAAAAACAAATCAAAAGCGATGTCTAGTAGTTTTCACCGGTATTATAAGTTTAAATAGTGCACTGTTCAGTAATTAATAGTATAAAACAAAGTTGTACGTAATTCAGCATTTATACTAGGTACTTTAACATTAATGGAAAATCCTTTTAGTAGTTCCGGAAAAACATAGTGCACAGACAAACAAACGTGGTGTGGAAACTATTTTTTAAATGTATGGATTGAATAGTGAGTATTGATTTCAAACACCATTACAGTAATTAAAGAAATATGATATCCAAGATGACTGAATGAATAATATGTCCATTTAAAATATTACCTATACATGCTATATGATGAAGATGATGGGTTAAATACAAAAAAGCAGCAACTTGACGAACGTTGATGCCAGGTATTAATACCCGTACCCGGAAGTCAATGATAAAATAGAGGTAGGGTCGTGGCGCTGGTTTTCGGCCTTTTAGTGGAGTTGTCAACTTTAAGGTACTATAAAAAATAATAGCGATTATGTTGACCTAGTGTTGTTAATGTTAATTTATAGCTTATATAATGTAGTTTTCATTTTGATAACTCATTAATGCTACAAAAGAAATCTATTTTTTATAATAAATTTTGATGTGAAAAATATGCAAAACGCTAGTTTTCGGCCCAAATTTTAGATTTCGGCCTACAAGAATTTTAGTTTTCGGCCACTGTATTAGAAGAGGTACAACTAAAAGTGTTTTTGTAAAATCAGAAAATGGCAAAACGGTTTGGGAAATCGGTGTATTTAGTTTTCTCAATCGGTGATTGCGATTTTTTAACCGTGACGTTATTTTTTTCTTTTTGGGTGTGTTTTTGATATAAAATAATAACCATGATTAATTATTTCTCTTTGAATCATAATCTAATAATAAAATCTTTTAAATATAGAAATCAAATATTCTCATTTACGAGTATTTTGTACTTCCTCATAAGTATTTTAGTTTAACAAAATCTGTTACCATATCTAACCATTCTCATCTCTAACCAAGAGTAGCCATATGAAGAAAAAAAATTTCTTTTTGAATCTTCTTCCTAAAACGCAATGTCAATAAAATATTTGATATGATAAGATGAAATGGCTGTAAACGTAAACTAAGACAGCATTCCATTTTCCGCCGCCGTATTCTTTCATACAATTTTAAGTTGGCCGAAAACTAAATTGTATAGTATTTTAGAGTCAATCCAGTTTTCGGCCACGACTGAATTGGGTATTTTGTTTCATCACTAACTGTTCAAATTGCAGTACTTGGTGGCCGAAAACTGAAAGTTAATGTCTACGCACGCTACGATTCAAAATATAAGTAAGAAAGATGAGTTATAGTACGTAACCAAATAAACGAAAGAGACAAAGTATTTAGGCTAAACTCAGGCTACTTTTCGGCCGCATGGCCGACAACCAAATAATGGGACAATTTTATGTGTCACTTTTCGGCCACTTAATTTATTAACTTTATCAATAAATTATTATAATAATCAGTGTCAAATAACTATATTAGGTTATTTATATAGTGAAATATAAGCACAATATTAAGTAATTATATTAAATACAGCACGAAACTTACTTTTGAATGGAACGCTCGCCACTATTTTTTTTGCTCGATCTTACCCGTTTTGATAGCTTCAGTGTCGGCGTCAAACTAAACTATTTATTATAAATCGCGTGTTGTGTTTACCTGATTAATTAATGCTACCAGATATAGTGAAACTATTTACAAATGCATTAAACTGTATTTCTTACGATAATATTTATTAAAATTGTTAATAAATCAAATTTACTGCATCAGCTCGTGCCAAAGGCCGAAATCTAGACCCGGCCGGCTTACCGGCGCATCGACCCTATTAATACATTTCCTTCCACGGTCACCTTGAACCATATTATATATTAGCTTTTAGAAATAGGATTAAAAACAAGTTTTTGGTAGTATCTCTTTTTAGTAACAAATATATAATATGCAACAAATACATAATGTAATATGTATATACGTTTTCAAAAATATTTATACACTTCCGTGAATATTATAGGCATAGTTGGAGCCGGTAGGTGGCGCTGTTGTAGAATCCAGATATCACACGTGCGAAGCCGCGCAGATCGCTAGTAGATTATGAGTAATTCTTATTGAAAGTCACTTTTTTATTAACCACGTAAAATATTTATGATATGATACGTTGAAGAAGTTAAGCGTGCGAAAGAATACGAAGTATTATTCATATTTGAGTAAAACAGATATATATATATATATATACCTATTTCAGCTCTTTGTTACAGGATATACTCGTTTTAGAGTATCATAGATATTAACCAATTCCACAATACGTATTATAATACTTATATATAACAGTATTATATCTTTAAATCTAAGCAAACCAAATCCATCAAAAATCGCGTATTAGCGTGTAGTACTGAATACAGACTTTATTACAGAGTTACAGAATGACGTAGAGATATTAACTGATATTGAAATATATAGATTCAATATGAGATATGATACAACTCAATACCTATTTGTCGAAGCTAAAGACCGAATGAATTTCCGGGATACCTGAGATTTTGAGTGAGATTGCGATGTTCTATGGGCAGCTGTACTCGTCACCGTTGGAGCCACACGCAGGTGTGAGTAACGATCTAAGAGCGTCTTATCTGACTCTATTCCGATGATATCCCGTACGTCAGACTGTGGGAGGTTAGAATGGCTCTCCAGCACCTAAAAACGGTAAGGTACCGTGCGAGGATAGGATTACAGCGGAGCTTATGAAAGCTGGTAGAAAGCCAGTACTTGAAGTACTTCAAACTCCTTAACTCCGTCGTCCATGGTGGCATTACTCCGAAGGCGTGGGTACGGAGTGCGGTAGTCTTGTTTTTCAAGAAAGGCGACAACGCTCTCTTGAGTACTACGTACCGATTTCCTTACTGAGCTGCGTCTGCGTGCTGTTTTCGAAAATCATTACGAACCGTCTCGCACGCAGTCTCGACGACTTCCAGTCCCTGAACAAATCGGTTTCCGAAAAGGCTTTAGTAGTACCATAGATTACATACATACATACCCTGCGATAAATTGTACAGAAGACAGAAAAGTACAATCTGCCACTTTGCCTTGCGCATATGTAATATATATATATATATATATATATATATATATATATATATATATATATATATATATATATATATACTGATGTATGTAGTGTTTATGATGTGTTAGGGCTACTATGGCTACTCAAGTGCAGAACCAGAGTACGAAACCTATCCAACTGCAAAGAGGTGTAAGACAGAGTGACGTTATGTCCCCGAAACTTTTCACCGCTGCATTGGAAGACGTTTTCACGCTACTGGACCGGAGAGTATACGATATTAATATCAATAGCGAGTACATCACACACTATCGATTTGACGACGATATAGTCCTTATGGCAGAATCGCTTGAGGACCTAAGTACTATGCTGAATGGCCTTCATAGTGCCCCCAATGAATAGATCTTAAGATGAACGTGGACAAAACAAAGTTAATACGTGTAACGTCGATGTCACATCTATGCCGGTAGTTGTTGGGAGCACTAACCTTGAAGCTTTTGACGAGTTTACCCGAGACAAATAGTTCGACTAGGTAAGTCCAACCTCGACCGACAGGTCAATCGACGGATTCAACTCGGCTGGGTAGGTATCGAGAGATTACGACACATCACGTCAAGTGCTCGTATACCTCAAAACTTGAAAATAAGATTGTTCAACCAGCACGTGTTGCCAGTGATGACTTATGGATCTGAGACGTGTTCCTTCACTGCTGGCGGTATGAGGAAGCTCAAGGTCGTTTAGCGAGTTATGGAGAGAGTTATGCTCGTGGTTTCTCTGTGCGATAAACTTGAAGTGAGGATATCCGCAGCAGAACCAGAAAGAAAGCAACCAAGAAAGGTTCTCGAGTGGCAGCTTAGTACCGGTAGGTGAAGTGTGGGGCGGCCCACCACTAGATAGAGAGATGATCTGGTAAGATATGCAGGAAGTCTTATACAGAAGATTTATAAGTGGTAGAGCTATGCTGCAGTTATTAGTAGTATTAGTAGTATACTTGTAGCATGAATAGATCGGCTTGACCGAGGAAGGACCACGCTCTCACTGTAGTCTATGGCCTACAGCAACCACTTACCATTAAGTGGTCACCGTATCTTATAAAAAAAGTCAATGGCTGCAGTTGACTCAGGACCATGCTTTGAGACATTTCGTGGGGCAGGCCTATGTTCAGCAGTGGACTTGTGAAAGGCTGTAATCATGATGATGTTCAGATATTGAAATATATTACATAGATGCGATTTGATATTGGTTAAAACTATTATCCAGGCCTAAAAACTTCTACGAGTATGAAATTTGTTCTTATAATTCAAGGTAGTTTTACAAATTAATTCAAGAATTATAAAACTTATATAAAAAATCGATTTTATGCTTATGTTTAATTTTTTTAATTTCAGGCAATAAACGTTCTATCAAAAGATTCTAGTGTTGTAAGAATAATGCCTAATACACCTATGAGTGTAGGCGCTGGCGTTTGTTTGTACACACCAGACAGTAGTGTGACAAGAGAGCAGTGTGAAATTTTAGAGAAGCTTTTAAGTAGTTGTGGTATTTATGAAGAAGTTTCCGAATCATTGATGGATGCTGCTGGACCCTTACCTGGTTGTGGACCAGCTTTTGTAAGCCAAAAGAATTATATACATTTTTGTACCACACTTGATAAAGTAATTTTAAACGGACCTGACTGATTTGACTAACAAAACCTTAATATACAGTTGTATTGACCATCAGGCTTTAACATTATTGAAAAATATTAAAATCCTGCTAATTTCGCCCTGGTTATCCTCAAGACAGATAGCTTTTAATAACTATTATTTAATCATCTGTTTTTTATCTGTTTTTATCTGTGCCTCAAATCTGCAAAACGTTATCCGCCATATTCGAAACCATCGTGACGTCACTGGTTAAGTAAGCTTGCTAATGGGTGCGTTTGGCAGAAAAAAGCGCTAGCAAGCGCTTGTAAGCAAAATGGCGATCGTAAGCGGTAAGCGCTGTCAAATCGTAAGTAGCTATATTCCTCCAGGACACGATGTTAGTTTTACCCGGGGAATCTAACCTAATTTAAATATATGTTTGTAAAGTATTCATATTAAAAACTTACCAATCATGAGTTTTTAATAGCATGTATATGTTTATTCATGTCATTATATTACTTAAAACTAATATTGCACAAAACAACTTATAAACTCTACTTCAAAACAAACAAATTAAATAAGCAAAATGGCGGATTGTGTCAGCGCTACTGAAGTAGCAATCGTGTCCTGGCCGAAAACTATTTTAGCGCTTATAAGCGATTGCTAGCGCTTTTTTCTGCCAAACGCACCCAATGTGTTGTGTTTGTTATTTTGAAATTTCTCAAGTTATGTATCATTAGGATTGCAGAGTTTTATTCTGGATTTTATTCAAAAGGCATCATGAAAGACAGATTCGTAAAATCAGAAAAAACTATTCTACCAAGGGTAAATACATTGATGGTGGCAAAAAAAATTATATACAATCCCGATTTTTGTTCTGCTGAGTTGTGGGATTATAAAATATCAATGTAAGTAGGTACCATTACCAACTTTTGTTTGTACAATAATACAATACCAGGTCAGAGTGTATTTTGATAATACATAGTTATATTTATCTATGATTACGATCATTAGTTATAATATCTAAGATATCGTAATCTATAACAAAATTTTACCTCCAATACCTATAACCTCATGAAATAAATATAAGTCATAATTCCATCTAAATCAGTTGGCACTTGAATTAACTGAAAAACTTCTGCTGACTTCTCATCTAGACGGCTATCAGGTCTCCGTCGATGCCCCTCTGGCTCTTCGGATCATTTACTGATCCGGAGTACAGTGTCCATCACTTGCTCATTGCAGGCACGGTCTGTAGGCTGGCCCTGTGTGTGGCACACTAAAGGTCAGCGGATTGGGATAGAATGTGGGCTTTTTTGCACCCTACCCATGGGTAGCGGATTATTTTCTCGCTAGATGATCCCAAAAATTAACATAACTTCCCCGGCATTCTTATGCTCGTATTTTTGCATTCAGGCACTACACACCAGTGATAAAAATGACAACTCATTATTAGACATCCAAAAATATCTTGTTCCTTTGCAAAATCGGTAAATACCTAGGACAGTGACATCACGAGCTTCACAGCTTGGCGGCTAGCGTTTTCGCACGAAAATTTAACACGATAAATTAAAGTAATTTTTATGGCACTGTTCGGTTTAAAAAAAATATAAATCATAGTGGGTCACTATCACTCTGGGATTCATTTAAAACACTGTTTGATAATGGATGTAAACCTCTATTCCAGATGTACATTGTAATAGAAGCACTAGCAGATGGTGTGGTCAAACAGGGTGTACCAAGAGCGATGGCATTACGCTTAGCTGCCCAGGTTTTAATTGGCAGTGGGGAGATGGTTTTACAAACAAACAAACATCCTGGTCTTTTGAAGGATGAAGTCTGCTCACCGGGTGGCTCTACAATATATGGTGTGACAGCTCTAGAAAATGGAGGATTAAGGTACTTTTATCTAATTATTTTTTTTATTTATTTTTTAACACAGTATTACTTCAATTAAAAACTAGTATAAAAATTAAAACCAATGTCTTCCTTTAATTATAAGAGTCAATTATATAAAAAGTGATAGAAAATTAGAAAATTTAACAAAAATTAAAAATAATGACAAAATTTAAAAAACAAAGTATAAAACCACTAAAATTTAAAATGCAAATCGGTATACTACTTATACTATTCTTAAAAAAGCGCTAGGTTTTTTCTGGGAAGCTGTAGTTTAATATCCAGTCTATTATTTTTAGAAATTTTGTTGTATCACTTGTAGTTACAAAGCATAGGCACTGCGAAGTTATGTCAAAGGGTTTTTCTAGAGGTAGTAATGTGAAAAAGGTTATATGCAATTTTTAGTGAAATTTATTTTTATCGTAATTAATTTAAAAGGCATTTCCAAAATACAAAAACAGTGTAAAAGGTACCAGCTTAACCCTGACAAACCTCCTAAATTGAAGACAAAATTAAAAAATCAAGTACCGGACGTCTACTTTATAATACGAGAACAAATTGACATTTGCGTTTCGTTATAAGCAATTTTTGGTGAAATTTATTTCTATCGTAATTAATTCAAAACGCATTTCTGACATCTAAAAAAGTATTATAGGTTCAAGCTTAACCCTAACAAGCCTCCTAGACTAAAAACATTATTAAAACCAAGTACCGGATATCTATAGCCAACCTCTACTCAATTGGATAAAAAAGTAATAAAATAATTTCCACATATTAGCTTCCGGTATCGTGTCTAGATCTAATATTAACTTTTCTATACACTATGTCTTAGCACCGATCTCCGATGTTATACAGTGGATACATATCGAAAAGTGGGAGACAAAGCAAATGTGCGGCCAGTAAGTAGTTGTCACCTTTTAGAATTCTGATTGGTCCACGTCAATGGCGGTCAGGAATGTATCGTTCTACGCTGCATGTATAACTGTAAAAATAATCATGTGGTAGAAACAGGTATTTGCCGCACAGTCGTTTTGTCGCTTTCTAGAGAATGGTCACTTTTGTGAGGTTAATGCTCAGTCCTTTCTCTTACTACTATTCACTTATGCTATGTAATATTCCGATTAATTTTGCTATTAGTGCTGAACACTGCGTAGCGAAGACTAAATTGATTTTTTATGAGGCTGATTACGAGGCTATAAGTAAGGATCTTGATAATGTGGATTGGCGTAGTGAATTTGATTGTCATGAGTGCCTAGATGATCTTGATAAATTCTATACCATCGTTCGTATTTCTATTAGAAAAACATATTCCTTTTATATTTATAACAAAGTCGCGCTACTGGTTTTCTCGGTCGCTAATTAGCAGTTTAAAGGAAAAATACCGCAAAACAATACGTTTATTTTTTAAACGTATTCTTACAGAAAAACGTATACAGGAATCCTACGGATGCAGTGACATTGGATTTGTTAAAGGCTAGATGCGACAAAATGACTTTATATTGTTATAATACATACATAAATAGAATAGAACCAGTAATTGCCGCTAACCCTACGTACTTTCGGAGCCATATAAAAATTAAAAGAGGTGAAATTAGTAATTAACCGGGAAGGTTGATCTTTATATCCAACAGCTCTGAAAACTTTGAGAAGATATGTAATTTCTTTGAATCGCATTTTTAGAGTGCTTATATTGGCTTAGGGGAAAATAACAACTGTAATATTAGCAATAACTGCATAAGAAATCAATTTTAAGTTATATTGAAGTGTCACAGGATCAGGTTGCTAGGGCTCTGAAAAGATTGGATGTTACGAAAGGTTTGTAGGACCTGACAGTCTGCTTTCAAATCTGCTTAATCTTAAAGTACAAACTATTACTTCCTCTATCGATTATTTTAATAGGTCCCTGCGTAGTGGCAATTTTCCTGCTTCCTGGAAAGAGATTAGGATTGTCGCCGTACATAAAAACGGCGAAAAAAGTAACGTCATAAGTTACAGACCCATAGCGATTTTGTCAGTCTTTGCGAAAGTATTTGAACCTATTATTTCTCCTCATCTATCATGGCATATTTTACAAATAGTTGGAAACAGCCAGCATGGCTTTCTGAAGAGTAGCCCTATTGCTATAAACTTATTTACATACATACGTGAATAACCTGGTAGAGGCTGTTGATAAGCTTGTTCACATTGACGCCATTTACACCGAATTCAGTAAAGCCTTCGTCACTGTAAACCATGACATCTTAACAAACAAACTTAAATTCTTTGGAATCTCGCTGCTCATGCTAGTTTAAGTCTTACTTGTCAAAAAGAAAGCTTAAAGTAGTAATAAATGTTCACAGTGCGATCCCCTATACTGCTTTTTCCGGTATCCCACTGGGATCTCATCTAGGGCCGTATATTTTTATACTTTTCATTAATGACATTTGATACATCCTTTCGGAATTCTGACATTTACATGTTTGCTGATTTTCAAAGCCACCAAGGAAATTTGTAGTTTGAGTGATTCGACCTCTCTTCAGGAGGATCTCAATAGATTAAGCGAATGGTAACCTAACAAAATGACCCTGAATGTAAAAAAAGTGTAATCACATAAAGTTAAAAAAAAAAGAATTCCCGATACACATTACACTCAAACAAAACACTAGAGGAAGTAACCTCGTGACTTGGGTGTCATAGTGGATCGTAAACTTAATTTTGTTAACCATATATAGTTTCTAAGCATCAGATTCTTGGTTTTGTATTAAGATAATCCAAAAGGTTTAAAAGAACAGTAAACAAGAAGATACTTTTTGACTTTCTAGTCAGTCTAGAAACCCTAGTATGTGAAGAAATAAAAGAACTGTTTCTAAGAAATTTGTTAGTAAGTCCAGTTTTACTAGAAAGCTATAATAGATTGATCAGTTCACCAGTTATCATTGGTAATATTGTGATGAGTTTCCATTAATTGAAGAATGCAGAATGCAGCGATTAAGATGGATAAAAAAGTAAGAAAGATTTTTTCTAAATAAATCAGTTAAAAATCCGCACAATCAGCACAAGGGCGATAAAAAAATATAAAGCAGACCAGTGCACTACCTCTAAGATTGTATTACCATCTTTGATATAAATTGAGAGAAATACATACTATTAAGAGACAATAAATGAAAATAGAGAAGTTTAAAAAGTTGCAATAAAATATTGATACGAAATTCTTATCTCGCCGAAAACAGATATAATAATAGTGAGTCATATTATATCAGGGGAAAACAATGATATAATAAATTAATAAATAGTAAGGGTAATATTGTAAATAAATGAGGTTAACTATTTGTTTGACAAATTTTTTGCACCAGATTTTACTTAACTGTAAAATGTACTTTTTGTATTACAGCTTTTTGAGAATGTGTATTTTTTTCAGAGCAACATTGATCAACGCGATTGAAGCAGCAGTACTTAAATGCAAAGAGTTAGGAAAGAAGTAATATAACTCAATATCAGCGACAGTATAATTATATGACAAGTATTTTGAAGCATGCTTGATTTATGCAATATTTAAATTTTTAGTTCAGTATTGAACTGTATGTCTCTATAACCTACGTTTGTTTATTATTTATATCATATAGGTATTTAGCCCATACTATATAGCAACCTGGGCTTGATCCTCAACAGCGCCAATAAAATAGTTAATTGTAATATTAAATGTTGGTCCGCAGTGAAGGAAAATCATGAGGAAACCTGTTTGTCGAGAAAATTAAATATTGCGTAAACATGTATCTATAACCCTTTTAGAAATGGGGAGAGGATATAAAAAGAAGAGAAAGATCTGTATACTTACTACCTCTAATATTATCTTATTTAAGCTAGTACTTTTGTGCACTAACTAAAATACCACAATGTTAAACTTAATATTTAGGATAGAAGTTTAGCTTTAGGATATGGGGTTTCAATGATTTTTAATTAGCGTAAAATAGATTCATTATCATTCATTGTTTACATGCATTAACCCTTCAATCGCAATAAAAATCCCATGCAGTCGCATGCGCCCGGCTAATTCCTAGCGGTCGCATGCGACCGCACCCACCCACAGCACTTAAAACCATTAAAACTTATATTTATAGACTACTTTTCTATGAAGAAGTTTGGCATTATAATATATTATATACAAAATTCTCTATCCTGTGGTCTAAACAAAAGTCAGGTTTTACTTCCTTACAAACAAGATTTAATTGTATTTTGATAACGAAAACAAAACATACCAAGCGAATGTCGGCAGCGTGAAAATCACAATTATTTCAATATATATTACTCGAAATTATTTACGTAAAAAGATTGTTGATGTTCGTGTGTGAGAATGTTAGTAATGGAGCGGGTTATGCTGGCGGGATGTTAACTGGAGAGCATGCAGAAGCAGTTAGATGAGCAATAAATAACACTTCTTCAGAGTTTCTTCTTATTTATTTTCTTGATTCTTTATTCTTACATTGCCGGATTTGGAATGTTTTACCACAAAAAACGCCTCTTTTTTATAGGCAGCTGTGACCAATCAGAATTAACAGAATTTGCACACGGCACTAATGAATTTGCACACGGCACTAATGATTCCCGTAGACCAATCAGAGCGCAGAACGACCTTTTCTAAAGGAAATTTACAAATTTCTTTAATATGTGTGGTAAAACATACCTTACAATATTTTTATACATTCCTGACAATAGAGATAACTTATCTTTACTATTTCGAACATTAAACATTCATAAAACTCTTAATTTATGCTTGTAAAAAATAAAAATAGTGGCGCGGTCTTCCTACGGTTTAGCTCCGGAGTAGCTAAGCTTTTTCCGCTTAACATACAAGTTTGCGCCCTCCTTTCTGCCAAGGAGGGTCGCGTTCGTATACGACTTAGAGATCTCTAGTCAGATCGTTAAGCCAGTTCCTAAAAGGTTGGGTTTAGTGGGTAAAAGTCACCACATAACCACGCAGCCGGAACTGCGTGATAGCTGCAATGGAGCATTGCCAACCTCCCTACAACCCGCTTTCCGGAGGGTTGCCCATATTTGCTTCGGGCGCAAAAAAAAAACATACAAGTAGCGCCGCCAGGCGGCAGGAATGCACAATGCTTATCATGATAATGTTATGCTTAAGATTCTATACAGAATATATTTTAACTTCTTATTAAATTAAAATCTATTTTTATAATGAGAAATTAGAATACAAAAGTGATTAATTGACATATTATCGTTTTAAATTACTACAAAAGAAAAAGAATCGAACAAATCGTTAAATTTACATTTAAGTGTTAATATCTCTAATACAGCTCTTTAAAATTATAATAAGAGAAAGTTCTAATAGGTAACTAAACTCATATTTCGTTTCCAACATTCTAATTAAACCTAAATAAATAATTAGTTTCATATTTTCGTTACAGACTTTGTTACTAACTTTCGTTACGTAGTTTTGAAATAAGAATTGAAGCTAATATAAGTAATTAATTCACTTTTTTGGTATTAACGCTATCAGTCTTTACACACAAACAAAAAAAAAGAAAAAACGCTACACTTAGTTTTAGATCACAAATAAGAAACAATCGAAATTAAATGTTTAAATTCACTTGTCGTCGCTAACATTCTCCTCCACGGTGCGTAGCACTTCATCTTCTGAAGGCGACGATTCCGCTGGCACCAGCACGATGACACGTCGAGTTGGACGGCGAAGTATTCCACCTGATGTCCGCACGTCCAGCACCCTGGTTTTTCCGTCTGGTCCGGGATAGGTCTTGATAACTTCTCCGCGTGGCCATGAGTTTCGTAGTTAACGTAGCGTCCACTATCAACACAATGTCTCCTCTTGCGTCTCTGGTTTCTCCCCTCTCGAGTTTCCTTGGCATCAGGAGCGGTAAATATTCTTTAATCCATCTTTTCCAGAAGTGATCTGCGAGTCTTTGGGTGGTTCTCCAGTTTGCTTTTCCGATGAGCTCTGTTTCACTGAACTCTCCCGGCGCCAGAACTTTTGACGAATTTCGTTCATTACTGTAGCAGTGTTTCCGTGAAGGAATTTCTTATGATAGTATTGTATTATTAGACGGGTTATTTTTTGTTTCCCGTCTAAAACGATAGGATTCATCCTTCTTTCGTTTTGGTCGTGGAATTTCATTGTCCTACACCTTAATTTGATGATTCCATCGTCTCCAATGTAAACGTCGATTTTCTTAAGTCGACTAGAGTTTTCTAGAGGTTTTTCTGTCTTCAATTTTCTTATGTCTGACGCAAAACTGTCGCTCTGGCTTATTTTCATTAATAATTCTTCGGCCTTCTTTAAGTGTTCTTCTTCTAGGGGTAAATATAAGCGCTTATTTTCGTTTTTGTTGGTCGACGTGTTTGGGCGTGTGCTTCTTTCTTCTGGGTTTTCTGTTGTGGTTTCCAAGGCTCATCCTTCTGGCGTGTGGCGGTGGTGGCTTCGCTTTACGGCTCTTCTTTAATAGGTAGTGCGCAAAGGCAACCACTCTGGCTGTAGTGCGCAGCAGTCGCTCCCAGCTCGAGAACCTTTCCGAATTTAAATTCCGGATTTAAGGATGTCTTCTGCTGCCCCATCGTTGCCAACACCTTCTGTTTGTGCTTTTCTTCTGGCATAATACTCTCTGGTTTGAAGTCGTGAAACGGCCATTCTTCTTCTGGTTGACGGAGAAATGACGGGCCTTTGAACCATCTGGCCTTGTGGTCGAATTCGATTGGGGTTCTCCTCGTGGCGTCGTCTGCTGGGTTCTCCTTAGTTGGTACCCATCTCCAGTCTTCTGCCTTGGACTTCTCTTCAATCTCTGCAAGTCGGTTGGTCTCGAAAGTTTTGAATTTTCTTGGTTCCGACTTTATCCACTGCAGTACTGTGCTGGAGACGGTCCAGTAAGTCTTTTTTGATATTTCGAGCTCTGACTCCTCTTCAATTGTAGCGGCTAGTCTGCTTCCTAGTAAAGCCGCATGTAGCTCTAACCTCGGAATTGATACTGGTTTCGTCGGTGTTACCCTTGTTTTGCCGGCGATCATGGAGACATGGATTTTTCCTCCGGGCTCGACTATTCTCCAGTAGACTACTGCTGCATAGGCTTCTTCACTCGCATCGGTGAATGTATGTAACTGTCCTTTTCTGCCTTTGGGTGAGACGCATCTTGGGATCTTCAGCCTTGTTAATGTTGATACTTCCTCTAAGTATTTCATCCAGGCTTCCTTTTGTTGTTCGTTAATTGGTTCATCCCAGTCTATTTTCTTTCGCCAGATGTCTTGGATTAGTTTCTTTCCTTGTATTAGAACCGGTGTTGAAAACCCATTAGATCGCAGGTGGACATCACTGCGCTTGTGACTTCTTTCTTCGTTGGAGTTCTTCTGCCAGCTTGCAGGTCCTTCGGCGTGTTGCGTAGCCCGACGTTGAATGCTAATGCATCTTCTTTCACCAGCCATCTTAGTCCCAGAGTCTTCTCTTCCTTGGTCAGTTGTAGAGTTTTCTTTATTGGTGTCTTCTACTTCTGATATTACCCCCGAATTGTTACTGGCCCAACCCTTCAGATGAAAGTTTGCTCTTGCGTGAATGTCTTTCACTTCTTTGGATATCTTCTTTGCTTCAGTTGTAGACGCGAAGCTCTGCAGATAGTCGTCCATGTAATAGTTTCTCTTAATTGCTTTCACTGATTCGGGATGAGTGTTCTTAAATTCCTCTGCGTTCTTATTCATTACGTATATCGTGGGGCAAGTAGAATGTTCTTCCTTTGTTGGAGGTTTCTGGAGCTATCTCTGCGTATCCCCTTTTCGATCAGACTCAGGAGCTGCTCCTCGTAGTGCTTTCTTGCTTCTTGGTCTTGATCTAGTTTCTTTTCGATGCTGACCAGGCGTCGGACTGCTTGATTGTAATTGTTGGGTAGGGTTTCGTCTTCTTTTCCTTCCTTTTCACAGGAGTCCCGTTTCATATTGACCGCTTGGCAGTTTCTTTGTAGTCTTCTCGAGGGTTTCTAATGCTCTTCTATCGCTGTCGTTGGATGGCGACCGATTCTGGATCCCGAGAGATTCTAACTGAAAGTGTTCTCGGACGATTTCTTCTATGTTTTCTTCGCCAGTGGTCGCTCTGCCATAATGAGTGAAGTTTACCGTGGCAGTTGCTCCTGTTTCACATCCGTGTAACACCCACCCTAAGTTCGTGAGGGAGGCTACAGGATCTGACGGTTTGCCCTTCTTCAGCTTTCTTGTCACTATTAGTCCCCAATTGTCTTGGCCTATCAGTAGCTTGGGTCTCTCGGTGACGTAGCGGAGTTGGCTTTCAATTGCTTTCAGATGGTCGCAGTTTCTCACGGTGTCCTTGTTTATGCATTGTTCAGACAGCTTCAGGTCATCGATGGTTCTTGCTACGATAGTCCTTTTTTCTTTTCTATGAGCCCCTTTTATTTTGAACTCGATTTTCTGTGAACTATCTTTTCTTAACACTCCCGCCGACGGTTTCGATTGTAAG